AGAAACGGTAGGTGTCTTCTTGGTGCAGAGAAAAAAGGAAATCGCTCTGAATCCAGTTCATCCAGGGCTTACAGGCTCTTCCAAGAGACTGGCATGTTTTAGCTGACCCTGTGCTCCTCCCTGTGTGACAGGCCACCCAGACCTGAACTCTAAATCAGTCCTAGCCAGGATGAGTTATCCAAGCTTGTTGCCCTCGATCGTGTCGTGGGTAGAGGAGGCTTTCACCTTCACTGACCGGGCACCTGTAAGTGTCCGTACGTGACAGTGATGCCCAGAGCCAAGCCCACACAACAGCGGCTCTCCACGGGGGGCTTGGAAGATGTTCAGCACATGTCAACGTCCATCTTTCCTTCTTGGATGAAAGAGAGAAAGAAGAAAGAAGGAGATGATAAATCTTCCATATGTCACCATCAGTAAAATTCCTGGCTCTGACTGTAGAAGCAACACAAACAGGGGTCTCAAACTCCAGCGCCAGTGCGAGCCAGGCAAGTCACAGAAATGAGGACAGCGCCACCGAGGCAAAGAAATGAGACAACAGCAGACGGCAGACAAACAGCAGATACCTATTGTTACAGTGGAAGGGATGGAGCTGCACACTCACCAAGCAGACGGCATCCTGCCGCTCCGCCTTCTGTTCCCGGGACAGAGACGGGGACCCCGACCAACTGGACGAGGCCTGCCCCCTCCGGAGGGGCAGCCACTCTCTCGGCCTGACAGTTGTCATGCAACGCAGGACTCAAGGCCCCGTGCGGCCAGACCTTGCAACTTTTTTCAGGATGAGTGGGAGGCTTTGTTTATTCCGAAAGTATTTCAGTTCGTAAGTGTCGACCGACACTGTGGTCAGGCCAACATGATGTGTCCCCAAGGGCTTGTGGACAGGTAGGTTGCAGCCTGTGTTTCTTTTCCTTTTGAGAGCCCTGCCCGCGCGGCAGGGAGCACGTTGAATTGCTGTTCGCTTTCTGTCCTCTCAGAGCGAGGGGAGCCCCTCCTGGAACACGAACTTGGGGAGTCGGCGCGGAAGGCAGGCTGGCCACCGCCGGCAGGGCTGGAGATCGTAGGCATGCGGCCAGACTCCCTGTCTGTTCTTTCTCACCACATCCCTGTGAGGTGAGCAAGGTCCCCATTTCACAGATTAGGAAGCAGAAGCACTGATGTTCTCAAGATCTCACACAATACCAACTCCCAGAGCTGAACCCGGGTTATTTTATGCAAGTTTAGCACCCCTCAAAGACCAGGAGAGAGAAAACGGCCGTGAGGCCGAGGCTCACTGTCCTGCCATCCTCTCCCTGGATGGGCACTAGGCAGCCAGGGCGGCTTGGAAGCAAGTTTTGATCACTGGGGCGCCGGCTGGGGAGCGGGTATTGGGGAGCCCTCGTGAATGTTTTGAGCCTGGACGTAGTGGGGGCCAGAAATGAACTTCCTCGATCCCAAAGTTAGATTTTGCTCTACTATTGTGAACCTTAGGTGAGAAAATTTTAAACACCGATAATGATGTCAAAGTTCTTACAATTAGACCGAAGTGGAGAAATTTCTGTACTATTATATCTGAATGGTTTCCAGGTAAGTTTCAGAAACGCCAAGTTGAGCCAGTGTAAGCTCTAAGGGGACTTACTGACAATGGAGGTGAAAATTCCAGGCTTAGACTGAGTTTCTGGCTTCACCCAGGAGATCATTACCAAACCCTCAGATTGCCTCCAGGCCTCCTCACTGCTTTCTGAAATACTGGCCTTAAACAAAGGTCAGTTCCCGGGTGTTTTATAAAAGCTGCCCACCAGCATCTCCTCGTTTGTACCCAGGTGGGGAAGGGAGGATTCAGTAGCCCTGTCGTAAGTGCAGGGAACTGCAGTCCCTGCTCTCCTGTCCCTGCCCTCCTGTCCCTGCTCTCCTGTCTCTCTGCTCTCCTGTCCCTGCTCTCCTGTCCCTGCTCTCCTGTCTCTCTGCTCTCCTGTCCCTGCTCTCCTGTCTCCCTGCTCTCCTGTCTCTCTGCTCTCCTGTCTCTCTGCTCTCCTGTCTCTCTGCTCTCCTGTCTCTCTGCTCTCCTGTCTCCCTGCTCTCCTGTCTCCCTGCTCTCCTGTCCCTGCTCTCCTGTCTCTCTGCTCTCCTGTCTCTCTGCTCTCCTGTCTCTCTGCTCTCCTGTCCCTGCTCTCCTGTCCCTGCTCTCCTGTCTCCCTGCTCTCCTGTCTCTCTGCTCTCCTGTCTCTCTGCTCTCCTGTCTCTCTGCTCTCCTGTCTCTCTGCTCTCCTGTCTCTCTGCTCTCCTGTCTCTCTGCTCTCCTGTCTCTCTGCTCTCCTGTCTCTCTGCTCTCCTGTCTCTCTGCTCTCCTGTCTCTCTGCTCTCCTGTCTCTCTGCTCTCCTGTCTCTCTGCTCTCCTGTCTCTCTGCTCTCCTGTCTCTCTGCTCTCCTGTCTCTCTGCTCTCCTGTCTCTCTGCTCTCCTGTCTCTCTGCTCTCCTGTCTCTCTGCTCTCCTGTCTCTCTGCTCTCCTGTCTCTCTGCTCTCCTGTCCCTGCTCTCCTGTCTCTGCTCTCCTGTCTCTCTGCTCTCCTGTCTCTCTGCTCTCCTGTCTCTCTGCTCTCCTGTCTCTCTGCTCTCCTGTCTCTCTGCTCTCCTGTCTCTCTGCTCTCCTGTCTCTCTGCTCTCCTGTCTCTCTGCTCTCCTGTCTCTCTGCTCTCCTGTCTCTCTGCTCTCCTGTCTCTCTGCTCTCCTGTCTCTCTGCTCTCCTGTCTCTCTGCTCTCCTGTCTCTCTGCTCTCCTGTCTCTCTGCTCTCCTGTCTCTCTGCTCTCCTGTCTCTCTGCTCTCCTGTCTCTCTGCTCTCCTGTCTCTCTGCTCTCCTGTCTCTCTGCTCTCCTGTCTCTCTGCTCTCCTGTCTCTCTGCTCTCCTGTCTCTCTGCTCTCCTGTCTCTCTGCTCTCCTGTCTCTCTGCTCTCCTGTCTCTCTGCTCTCCTGTCTCTCTGCTCTCCTGTCTCTCTGCTCTCCTGTCTCTCTGCTCTCCTGTCTCTCTGCTCTCCTGTCTCTCTGCTCTCCTGTCCCTGCTCTCCTGTCCCTGCTCTCCTGCTGTCTCGCCTGGAGGTAGGATTGCCGGTTGGGTGAAGGGACTCGGGGTCCAGCCCTGGTTTTAGGGCTGCGTTAGTTCCCTGCCAACTGCATAGCTGCTGCTATACAATGGAGGGGGATACATTTGCCCATAGAAAAGTCAGAATATTTTTGGTGGAAAGTGGACGAAATGGGTGCGGGGAGGCAACTGACAGATGTTTGCTACGAAGCCGCCCTGGCGTGTGGCTGCACAAGGAGAGGTGATGCTTTATGTTTTTTCTGAGGCAGACAAAAAGGAGAGGCAGGGCCCTGGCCCGAGAGGCCTGACGGGACGTGCGGGAAACCAGAAAGGATGATGCTGTTCTTGCTTCAAGGCAGAAATCAGCCCTCTCTCATTTTGTCGTCGTTGCTTTTGTTGCTCTGGGGAAGATTTGGGGAGCATGGCCATGGCCAGATTTGCTACTAAATTCTGAAAAATATCAGCTCATCATGCGCAGGGGTCGGCAGACGGCTGCTGTCTGTAAGCCAACAACGTGCTACCGGACTGCGCGGCCTGTAAACCCTCAGCTGCTATTGGGGCTTTTCCAGGAAAAATGTGCCAACCGCTCCCTGATCCAGTGCACAAAAGTGTAGTTTCTTTACCTCTTTAATAATTAGAGCAAAATAAAGTTTAGGGAACCTACCACTCAAAATTTACAGGATTCTTATGATAGGACTAAGGCATTAGTGTTTTCCTCAACTGCAAAATAATCCCTTCAAAATCCAAAATAAAAATAACTTTCACCTATCTACTAACACCTTGTTTATTTCTCATGGGGGCCGCAGGGCTGGAGAAAGGAGAGGGGTGCATGGAAATGGGTGATAGAGGCTCAAAAATAGACGTTACTGATCCCTCCGTTGCCGGTTCTTGGCTGCTCACCCGTCGACTAATAGCCATGGCATAAAAACGAAAGCAGTTCCAAGTCTGCCAGAGTTCTAGGTTCTGAGCTGTCATGTTTCATGATGTCACAGAGAAGTCACCCCTGTATTCCAGCTAAGATCCTGTAACGAATAAAGGCACAGCCACGGGGAGCCAGCTGAACCAGCAGGAGAGTGTCATCAGCAGCTCCCAGGTGTAAATCATGATGCAGGTGATTAAAGACGAGGCAAGTATTTGTTTGGCTTCGCTGAATATCTCAAAAGGGATCATCTTGAGGACAGATTCTTATCAACTTCAAGGGTGATTTCCTCCACCAGGCACTCCTTTGTTGCTTTGTAGCACGGGGAGATTTTAAAATTCTTGCTCTTCATCTTGAAGAGAGCACTGTCCGGAGAGTAGCCAAGAGACAACTCGATCAAAAAGGGTTTCGTTCCACCCTGATGCTCATTTCTTGCTCCGACTCTAACCAGCTCCAGGCCGGCTCCTAACATACCCCATCCTGTACCCGATCCCACGTATTCTACTTTAGTTGTACCTGGGGAATTCTATGGAAGTAAAAGAGCCCACATATTTCTCTTATCCTGGGAGAGAGAACAGAAGAGACGCTCCTGTGGAGCGGAGTAGGAAAATGATGGGCATTAGTATCAACAGCTCCTTAGGTGGCATTTTAGAAAGCCACTTGGTAGCCACTGCCCAATATTTGTTGCCACCACAACAAATCTAAGTGCAGATCTAGGTCAGGGATAATTATTTATAAAGAAGAAAATTGCCTGTAAAAGAGAAGCTAAGGTCCTGCATCTTTCAGGGTTGGCGTGAGCATTAGAATCCAGACATTCCGATGCCAGGCTTCATAATAGGAGGGCCAGGAGCTGGGTGGAAGGAGGAGGGCACGGAGCCTGGTTTCCCGGCTTCCTCAGATTTAGTCTTTGGCATTTTCCCCAAACCTGGCTGTACAGAAGGTTATAAAAATTTGACTGACCAGACTGAAAGGAAGCTTTGCCATGGAACTTTGATATAAGCAAGTGTTTTAAAACAGCTAACATTTGCTAATGCTTTGGGTGCTGCTTTTTTTAACTTTCTGGGAATCTTGCAGTATTGCCTGTCCCCTGAGAAGCCTTCCTACCCTGAGAGGCCTCCTCCATCTCTTCCTCAGAGACCTCCCCGAGGGCCTATTCTCTCCTCCATATCTTTATTCAAATGTCGCCTTCTCATGGAGGTGACGAGACTTCTCATGGCCATCGAGACTACAGTTGTAATCTAGCTTCTATCTTTTGTCCCTACTTTATTTGTATGTCCCTCTTTATTAGCAAGCATCACTAACACGCTGTATGTTTTACTTATTGATCTTACCATCAATTATCCCTCTAAAATATAAGCTCCATGAAGGCAGAGAATGTTCTGTTTTTCTGTCAACAGCTGTGTCCTAGCAGTGTGCCCAGTACCTGGCATGGAGCAGGTCTCGACAGGCACATATCGGATCATTGCATACACTAGGGGGCATTCCCTTCAGAGAACTTAACCAAGTCAAATTCATCGGTTCAACTAGGCCAGTCTACACCCTCCCAGCTACTGAGATGTGGAGGGTGCAGGGACTTATGAGGATGGCATCTACCTCATGACTCCAGAAGCAACTGAGAAACGGGGTCTCGGTGTGGCTTTCTGGCAAGTCAATCGCCCCATGTCCTCGAGCAGTGATGTTCAACCTTTCATCTCATGGCACACACAAACTGCTTGCTAAAGTCCTATGGCACACCAAAATAGCCTTAATACTGATCATTCCCCCAAAACAGAATGAAACAGGTGTTAGGTTAGTTCATCTTCGTTTAAATTTCACCGTTAATGCATGTTTCTGTCCTTGTTTAAAACATCAGATATAGGTGTCCACCTTAACAACCCTCACCCCACCCTCCGCCCCTCATCTCTCACCGGCCAATCTCAGTTTCTCCCCAGAGGTAAACAACCATTACCAACAATCCTAATTTTGGGGGTGGGGGATTTAGATTTATCGTCTATTAAAAGATAAATATATAGGACCTCAGGGACATTTAGGAAAGTTTTGGGCCACCTGGAGGATGAGATGGGGAACCTGGTTAAGGTTTTTAAGAACTAACCTGTCATTTTATTCTTTGCAAAACTTTATGAGTTTTAGTGATTATGCACATTTCCCCATTTGTGTTCTGGTCTCAGAATGAACTCAATACACTTTTGAAAGGTGCCGGATGCAAACTTGTGGTGGTTGAATTTTCAGCAAAATGGTGTGGTCCTTGCAAAAGGATTTGTCCCCTTGTTCATGTAAGTATCACCAGTCTCTATTTCAGTTTTAGAAGGAATTTAAAGTCCCCAAATATTTTTCCCAGAAAATGTTAAAAGTTTGGCACTTATGAGCCATTATGAAATCATAGTACACACACCAGAAGATTAAGACTATTTGTCTATGGATAATTCTGCAAGGAACATCAGGTGTGCAAAAGAAGACAATTGTGGAAGTGTATGGATTATTGACAATAATGACATTTTACCAAAGTTCCTGAGTTCAGATCTTCTAAGTATTGGAATAGATTCCAGATAAACATACTTGTTTTTAACAATAATATAAAAGAATAAACTACCCCCAATCCTTCAGCCCTTTTATCAGAACCAATCATATCTCTTACATATTCCTTTTGTATCTTGATCTACTTTATAAAATATTTTAGTAAAATATTCTACTTAGTAGAATATAATCGTGTATTTATATTCAGATCTTTTTTCCACATACACATTGGTTCAGATTTTTGTGGGGTCTTCAGATTATAATTTTAATATCTATACAATGTTTTATCTGTTTAATTTCCCCATTGCTTCATTTAAAAGTTTTCACCATGTTACTTAATTATTTTCAGTATAACATGCCGCAAAAAGAACTTCAGGACATTTTCTTTTCATTTCTCCTTAAGTGCAGAAGTTTTACATTTACAGTCAAGTTTATGAAATCTATTCCTTCAAATATAAAGGAGTTTTTATTTCTCTACACAGGTGAAAATACTCTGGTTTATTTCCAGTGAGGTTTCTAACATCTCAACTTTTTTGACTTGAACTCTCGAATCCACCTTAATTAATTTATCCACAGTCACAACCTTTGACATTTAATTTAAAATAAACTTAGATCCAAGTAGAGAGATTGGCTACATGACATATGAACATCCATTCTATGCCTAAAATTTTTGGAATATCCAGATGGAACATTTTAATGTGTGACAGGCCCCTCTGTTCTGACTGTCAAAAGTTTAAGAGAATCCCCCAAGTTCAGCTTCAGGAGTGTAAATATACTCACATGCCACAGGGTCAGAGCTGATCAAATTCCAACAGCCAGCCAGAGGCATTTCCTAGAGTGCAATGGAATCTAAGGCTTGGTAACCACTCGCTTCTTCCCTTGGGCCCGTAGAGTAGTAACAGCTTTGCTGCTCTATCTGGGCTCCTGTAGCCACCGCTACACTCATCCTTAACTTCATTGTTAGTTATAGTTAGCCCTGTGGAGATAAACCTGCCCGAATTATCCCAATTCGAATGTGTCATCTGTTTTCTCTTGGAATCCAACTAATGCAGACATAATTTTAAAATAAATTTTGGTGCATCCACTCTGTGAAATACTGTTTAGATATTGGAAAGAATCAAGTAGGCTCATATGCCTTGAAGACAGCATAATATCAAATAAAAAGAGTACAGTATAGGAAAATTTATATAGTATGGTTCCATTTATGTAAAACAGAGACACATATACGTATGTGTAACTATATACAAGGTACCCCCCCAAAAATGTATACAAACTGGTCACATTTACTTCAGTTTGCTGCACAGTCTGTCGTGCCAAGCATGAGAGAGGTCTTTGAAAATGAGGAAGTTTATTTTTAACAAGATGGGGCACCCTCACCCTGCCATCGTGATATAACATCCTACCTTGATGAGATCTCGCCAAGCGGGTGGATTGGGCGAAGGGGTTTCATGGAATACCTTCCTTGTTCACCAGACCTCACACCTCTAGACTTTTTTTATGGGGATTCTTAAAAGATAAAGTCTACATTGCAAAACTGGCAATGGTCACTGAACTGAGAGGAGCCAATATTTTCAGGTTTGCAGGGCCATATGGCCTCTTTCATAACTACTCAGCTTTGCTGTTGTGACACAAAAGCAGCCAATGGCAATACACAGATGAGTGGATAAGCTGTGTTCCAATAAAATTTTATTTACAAGACTACGGGGATCACTGGCTTTGGTTTACAGGGTACAGTTTGCTGACCCTGGGCTGAGAGGATCACCAGACAAAGAACCCTGGAAAGAGCATTTCTGGAAAAGGAAAAGTTACAGATTTGTTGAGAAATTGTATGTGTGATCACGGGAAGGGAGGCAGCCTGCGAGGCCAACTCACAGCGTCCACAGGGGCCGTGGCAACGAGTGAGTTTCAAAAGGAAGCTGAGGCCAGGTCAAGAAGGGCCTTGTGTAATAATGTAAGTTGCTGTACAGTCAGAAGGGTTTTAAGAAGGGCTTCCCATGATCAAATGTGGGTTTTAGAAAATACTTTTGGCAGTCTTGTTTCAGAGTGGGTTGGAAAAACTGAAGGCAGGTAACCCAAGGTGAACAACAATCTCAATTTTGGAGATTTGGTAGTTTCTGGAGGAAAAAAAGGAAAGATCAAATTCAGCATATCTCATGCCACCATCAGAGAGAGCCCCATTTGAAATAGGTCATTGGACGTGCTTGACATATGACGTTAGAGCAAACAAATCAATGAGCAATTAAGTGTCCTTAAAGTATGAACACAGCCGTCTGGGGGAAAAACCAAACCAAACCAGGAGCTGACATTTATAGGCCATTGCTGCTGCTGTGTCCACCACCCCCCAGACCCAACACTAATGCCATTGTCACCGCTGTTGCCAAAGATGCTTCCAGAACACAACAGAAGCAGAAGAGCATTGTTTCTTCCTGCCTTCCACCTTCCATTTCCCATCAAATGCTTCCCATTGGCGGACAGCTGGCAAAGCATCTGGAAAACCCAGTTTTGGTCCATAGTAAAGCACCGAGGGTGCAGTGGGAGCAAAAGCAATTAGGCTAATGGTCAGCACAAAGATTTTCTATCACCTCAGCTGTAAGGCCCTTCCACCACCAGCAGCATCACCACCTTCAAGAAGCCTGGCAAGAAGAGAAAGGTGGATTTTGAGTATTTGGCTCAGAGATCTGTATTTTTCAGAGCACTGGAGGCTGGCTGTCCCCCAGGAAAAAGCTCCTCTCCCCCTCCATCCCACAGCTCAAGCCTGGGTGCAGCACGTTCGTTTCCTTATTTCTTTCCCACCTTTGAGACTCTAATCTCCAGTTTGGCTCTTTAGGCTCTGGCTCTGCCGTTGGCCTTGGCTTGACCTCGGCATCATCTGACATTTGACTTTGGTTCTTCAAGTTCTAGGCAGCAGTGAAAAGCCAGAATAGATGCTTAGCTGCCTTGAACAGCCTTTTTGTTCATGTCTTGGTTTTGTCAAAAGACACTTCTAGTGTGTGATTTCATAGTAACACTAAGCTAACAGGGAATTTCTATGCTTTTCTTTTTCAAGGCAATGGCTCTGCAATACCAAAATGTACTCTTTGCTAATGTGGACGTCGATGAAAGCCAGGTAAGAGTCTTAAATCCTTCCATGTAGATACGTAAAGTCTGGACGTAGTGTCATAGAGAGCAGTGTCTGGGTGAGTATAACCGAGGTCACACTGTAAGGTCACACTGTCGCAGGCTTCACCTGTCCCAGCGTCATCACCGCTTGCTCTGGACTCTGCCCGGGGGCCGCTCAGCAGCTGCCGCAGGCAGACAGCACCGGCTGGGTGGAGTGGGCTCAAGACGAAAAGTGATTTTCACCCGTTATAGATTATTAATCAGTTTCTAGCCCAATGCACTGTAGACATGTTAACATATCTTTCCTCTTGCTGTATTTTTGTGGTGGGGGGTCGCTTAAACATCACAAGAAATTCCAGGAAATCCTTTCTTCATGTCCCTAGAGACTTCCTTTCTCACACACACCCCCAAAAATAATCAGCCTCCGGTCCTCAATCAAAGCATACCTTATTAATAGAACACATAGTGTGCCTTCAAAATTAATCTTCCTGACATTTGTTCACGTATAATGTGGAAAAGTAACATGAACTAGTGACCTATGCATACGTTAGATTGAATTTGAGCTTTAGAAAAACAAAAAATCTATTTTGCACCCATTCTGCTCTTTAATATGTTTTCTTTTTGTGCGGGTAGATACCTAGGAGTGGAATTGTTGGGTCATGTGGTTACTCTATGTTTAACTTTTTAAGGAACTGACAAACCATTGCCAAACCGGCTGCACCATTTTTCATCCCCACCAGCAACGTGTGAGCGTCCTGATTCCCCCACATCACACTATTGTTTGCCTTTTTGATTGTAGCTCTTTGTCTTTTAAGGTTAAACAAAAAGCACAATTTTCTTTCCTGATAGCAATTTATTTATTAGTTGTTGGCATTGCTGTTATGGTGGAAATGATCATTTAATGTGTGCGCGCATGTGTGTTTTGTAGGTGGCAGGAGAGAGATTTAGTGCCATGAAGTGATAAGTATATTATCGAGAAAAGCCCAATTCTCTTGATCCTGTTGATGGCTAATTTTCCTCTAGCTCTAAGCAGGATAAAAACTGGCACTGCAAGCAGATTTTAATGGATTAAAGCAACTAATATTTTGACATTTTTCTTGTTTTTGTTTTATTTTTTGGCTCCAAATTTTTCACATAGATGGGCAGTGAAGAAGAATAGGCTTAAAAAAAAGAAAGAAAGAAACATGTAAGCCTTATTTAAAATACTAGACTATTTCTATCAGCCCAGGCCTCCAGGCTCATGAGTTATAAAAATACCTTTACTCTTTCTTTCTTCCCTTTTTTTATTTGTGTTTTTGTTTTTGCAATATCCTCTCTCCATCGTGGGCTGCACTGGGGCCCTCTGCAATCTTTTGCAAGCTCTTTAAATAGAGCTCATTTGTTCACCCATCCCATTCTGTATTGGCCTCCATCTCTCACCCTCTGCTAGAACTTTGGGCTGAGAAAGCTCAGGAATACTGGGAATAGTCATTTTCTATTGTAACATTCCTGGGAGCTCTGAGGATATGTTAGAAAAGTCTTTGGCAGGAGAATCTGTAAAGTGTCAGCTGTCCCTGAGCTTTCAGACAGGCCTCCTGAGAAGTCACCAGGTTCCATCTTGGTACAGACAGAGGATACCAACGTTGTGACTTCACGCCATTTCTTTTCTTTCCCAGGAGTTGGCCCAAACTTATCAAATCCGAGTAGTACCCACATTTCAGCTGTTCAAGCAAGCCCAGAAGGTATGTGTCCATAGTACCTGGCAAAGTTGAAATAGGTTATAGAACCATCAGAGTCTTTACAAAAGAGACTGGAGTATCCTGGATGGATGAAACAACTGCATTTCTTTTTAATACTTAGCAATGTAATTCTTAGTTTCTGAACTTTACATATTGGCAAGGAGTTTTTAAAAATGCATGAGTTATAATAAATTTCCCCATTCAGATCATCTGAGGTGTCCAAATCCATAAGAAATATCTCACTATTACCTCTATATGGGGCAAAATTATTCAAAAAGAATCTTGTACAAAAGGACATGATGAAATTCTCATGTAAATATATACAGTTTTTAACAACACTTCAGGGAATGTTAACCAAAAACAATCACAAGGCCATGTAGCCCAGTGCTGGACCATGTGGATTCTGGATTCAGATTTCCATGGTTCAAACACCAGGTCTACCACTTCCTAGCAGTTTACTTAAAACCTGTTTGTATCTTAGTTTCCCTGTCTGTAAAAATATGGATCATAATAAGAAATGTCTGAAATACTTGGTGTGTGGTAAGACTAGTAATTTTCAATAGAAACGTATATGGCCAAGAGCGTTGATAAATAAACATTGAATTCCCTTTCACACAATTATTCCATTCTTGGGAACTTTTACTTCAGAAATACCTCAAACAGAAATAAAGAGCTAAGTGTATAGTAATTGTAGCATTATTTCTAATAAAATATAGAAGGAAGCTAAATGCCTTTTTTTAGTACCATAGCTAAGTAATTTATGATACATCTACTCTAGGAAAAAATATCAATTAAAAACTGTTATGAAGAATATATGTAAAGTTAAAAGATCATGCTTAAACTTTGTAAAGATTATGTCTGCAGTATAAAGAATGAAAGCATTTGATATGCTAGCTGTAGAATTTTATATTCAGCTTCTATTGTTTTGTATGTATTTACTGTAATATAATCGGTGCAACAGATCTAAATAATGCTCCAAAAAAAATTAGACTACCTATTCCCTCTCTCGAGTTTTTACTTAAAAATTGAAGCTATTTGTCATATGTGCCCTCAACTTCCCCCACCTACGTGTCAAATCTTTGTGTCATCTTTTATCTCCCCTCTTTTATCTCCGAAATGAGGGTGCTGTCTCCTTTCTAAATCCATTCCGTCTACTGCATCCAGACTGAATTCCTTTTCTTCTGCTCCAGGCCTCCATTCACTGGCAAAGAAACACTGTCCAGTAGCCCTTTTTAAATGTACATTGTACAAAAAGCCTTATGGTAACTCCTCTAAGATCACAGACTTTGGAGAATACTTGCCTCCCTTGAAAATATGATCCGCTCCCTTGCACTCAGCCAGGAGACTGGGGACCCCTTGGGTTTCCCCTTTGCCATTGCTGCCAAGGATCTCAGCGTTGCCCCCGCTCCTCAAGTCCTACAGCTCCCCGGCCAGTCCGGCATTCTCCAGCTACCCCCCACAGCAGCGTCCTTTCAGGGTTTTTTGATTCTTTCTTGCCCTTGATTCTTGCTCGTTTCAAACACTTTCAAGGTATATATAGAATATAAACAAAATAAAGCATCGAAAAGCTAAAACAAATTCAGCTATGTGACAGTGACCTAGGGCCAGGGTGTACAATGGGCATTTCTTGATGTTGGCAGCTTTCATCATCCAGAGGTTAGGCAAACATCTGGCGGGGATGCCCTATAAACAATAGCTGTCATTGTTTCACAGATTTAGGGCACAGAGCAGCCAGAGCCTGTTAGAGGTAATAAGTAAGGTGGGTTTGTTTCTTCCTGCTGTGTTCCTTAGTGTTGTCATCTGAGACATCACATCATGTTCCAGCCAGGTTAATTGTGGTTTGTTTGGGTTGTGTGTGTGTGTGTGTGTGTGTGTGTGTGTGTATCTTTATTGATTTCAGAGAGAGGAAAGGAGAGGGCGGGAGAGAGAGAAACATCAATGATGAGAGAGTCATTGATGGAGCCCGCAACCCGGGCATGTGCCCTGACCGGGAATCGAACCCCGATCACCTGCATCCTAGGTCGATGCTCAGCCGCTGAGGCACGCCCGGCCGGGCTGTTTGGGTTGTTTTCTTTGTTTTTGCATTCCCTTGGTGTCTTCTGGGTGAGGTATCCAAAACCTTTGCTGGTTTCTGTAACCAGAGTATTATACTGTGTTTTATTATAAGTAGTTCATAAATTTGGTAACACTGGGGAATTGCCCTTGGTTAGTAACTCTAGTACCGGGTGGAGGCTGGTGTAAGTCGTGGAGCAGGGGAAGGTAGGGTGACGAAGACAGCAGGTCTCGGCCGACTGCTTCAATACGGGCCGCCGCCCGTCGGTTCCGCCTTTCATGCTTTCATAGAATAAAATGCACTTCGGTCCTCTCCTAAGAGCGATGAGAGATGGGTACATAGATGCTAATAAGTAAATTATTCACAAAGGAGTAATTCAGAAGAACTGAGCTCTCGTACTAAATGGGAGGAAACTCACTTTTATGCTTCTGAAGCAAAGGACTCTGGCCGAGGCCGTGGAAGTCACTTCTAGCAAGTGCCCGCCTCCAAGTGGAACAGGGGTGAAAAGAATTCCAAGCAGGCAGCAACCGCGTGCAAAAAAGTGTTGGAAGCAGGGGTCACAAACTTGCTGTCCCCAGGGGTCAGGAAGGGACAGTAGGTGAGACAATAGGAAGTAAGGAGGATGGTGGTCCCTAGAAAGTCCCCCTCCCAAATGCTCACTGTTCAAGTTTATAAAAGCAGAGTTTGACCTGCCCTCTAGAGAGAGTGTCTGCGGCTAATTTCTGCCACCTCTGGAATCAGACAGCTCTCGGTTGGACCCAGGTCTGCCTCTTAGTAGTGGGGGACCTTGGGAATGTACTTTAACCGCCTCGAGGCTCCGTTTCCTGCTTTGTGAAATGGGGACGCTATCACATATCTTTGAACAGTTCCCAGGAAAATGTAGCACTGGGCTCGAAAATGCAGCTGCTAGTAGAACCCCAGGACCTGCCTGTGCACCTATCTTCCTGTAATTTTATAAGTAAATAGAAATTTAGAAATAATGATTGTGAGAAATCTCTAAAGCTCTTTGAATAACTACAATACCCATTTAAACGAGTCACCTTAGGGTTGAGGAGTTGCCTGCCTACCCAGTGACACCCAGCCTGCTAAGGATTGTTTTAGACACAGAAGGGAAAAAAGAGCTGTCACGTGGTCTGCAGGGTTCCAAAGTGTGCAGATCCCGAAAAGGGGTCACACATCAGCCCCATAAGCCGCTGATACACTGGCAAAGATTAACTGACTGGAGGAGACAAGAACTGAGTGAGGTGGGGGAGAGTCAGAGAAGGGCAGCAACCATTCATCACGTTTAGCAACCGTGAGCACTCTTGCCCAAGGTGCTGCTCCCGGCTTTAGCAACGGAAAGGCAGTGATGACTTTGTACCTCTTTTCTCCAGGGTTGGGATCAGGGTGAGGCAGGATATTGCAGTATAGGGTGGAATCCTGCCTTTATTTGAATTTCTTGATATTTTAGTATGGATTTTTGCGTTAATTTTTAATGCTTTTAAAAATATTTGTTAAAATATTTTCTATCTTGAATCCTGAGTTTCTGGCACCCCTTGAATTTTTTACCCAAGCCCCAGCCCCGTTCTTCTCTAAATTTTAAATCGTTGAAAAATGGGAGTATTTCCTTGGGTGATTCTCCAGAAAGACTTACAAGGCTCAATAGCAGGTTATATTCATTGCTGAGCTTTAGCCCAGCAAAGAATGCAGAGGAAAAGCAGCAGGAAAAGATGCCTCGGTGGCGTCCGGGAAGGTTCTCCAGACCCTGACGGTCTTTCTTGTCCAAGGAGTACACAGGAGCACTCTCTCCAGCAACGACCTTAGGGACATGTGTGGAGAGCCTCTGCCTTAGGGATGCCCTTTGGAGTCGCAGGGTCTGAGGACTTCATGTGGGGACTGGTCGCATAGTCACATCATGCTAGGCAACCATTGCTACACAACTCGCCACGGCAGTGGACACTCAGGACCCCCAAACAAAACCAGGTGCACATCAACATCGATGCCTACGCAAAGCAGCTTGACCAGCCAGTGTGTCCGGGTCCTTCGCTCCGGGTATATAATAAAATCATCAAGCACTACCACAAAGGACGCCCAGAGGCCCACATTTGCTGGGGGTTGGTGAAAGCCCCATCATGGTTCCCTTGGAGACATGCCACCAGCTCTGCTGCGTTAACTCTTATCTTACACAGAATCACGTGGAAAATAATTATCACCTTTATTGTAAGTAGCAGTAGCGCCAAATCGCAGTAATGGGAGGGCGTGGCGTGGACCCACATCAGCAGACTTCCTACTGTCCCTTGAAACCAAGACCTTGAGATGACCCAGCTGTGCGAGAATTTGGGGCAGCCAAAGAGAAACTTACCCACCAGGGAAGGAGATGCTGCTGCTGTTCACAACTATTGATCCCCAAAGTGAGGCCAAAGGGTGATAGCCTTCCAGACCCACCTGCAGAAAACAGGCCTTAGGCCACTTCAGATGTGCTTTCCTGGAGTGGGGGGAGAGCAGCCCTGTCCCTTAAGCAGAGCACCCAGAAAAGGGAGAAGATCGGAGCTCTTAGCTTCGTCTAGGCGTCACTGATAAGCTTGCCTCTGGTCTTGGAGGGGAGTCGGGGAGGGGACATACAACTTGGGGAGAAGTCAGGAAAGGGAAAAGCAAGCACATGTTCCCAGCACTTCAGAGTTGGCAGGTTCTCAGTGGAAGCATGAGAGCAGGAGCATATGCCAGTGAAGGAAATGGCTCCAAAACCATCCTCGCATCCCGTCCCAAGCTTCCAGCAGTGGGCGGAAGGACACCTCCCCTGCGCAGAATCCCAAATTGCCTTTCCTATTCTAGTGTGGGTGGCTTGAAATGAATTCCCGCATCAGACTAATGCCGCCTTTCCCTTCAGCAGAAGGCCACATGGTACTGAGTCACCGGCTTTCAGGCAGCTTCACGTGTGTCCTCACCAGCTCCGGCCGGTGGCAGAGAATAATGGTTGGCAACCTAGGGCCCGAAGGCCAAATCTAACCCTCCACCAGTCTGTGTAAATAAAGTGTTCCTGGCACACAGCCATGCCCACTTGTTTAAACATTGTCAGTGGCTCCTTTCGCACGACAATGGCAGATCTGAGTAGTTTTGACAGAGACCGTATGGCCTGCGAAGCCTGAAAGAGGTATCAGCCCCTGTACAAAAAAGTTTGTCCATCGCTAGCACAGGAAGAGAAAAGCACTTTAGTCATTTATGCCGCCAGGCCTTTAAGAAACACATGCAGGCAGAGTTTCGAAATCAGCTACAACAAAATGAAAGTAAATTAGTGTTTTACTGCAGTCTCACTATTGAAACAAATTGAGAAACAGGCCAGTGTAGATTAGAAAAAAATTAGATAATCGCTTTTACATGCTCTGTTCTGGAATTCACGGCCATATAAATTCAAGCTGTTTGAAAGAGACTATTTGAAAGAGGCCCTGACTCCTTGGTTTGCTTTTGCTCAACTCCAAACATCCTAACTAAGCTGCTTACATTTGCAGGGCCTGCCCTGGGTGTTGTGAGAGTCGAGGGGAAATGTGCAAACACCTGGGGAAGGGACGGGTCTGGGTGGAGTCAGAGTCATGGCCAGACAGGAACCAACAGAGGCTGACACTGTCCGCCTCTCAGTGGAAGGTTAAGGGACCTTTAAACGTTCTCTTGTTAGACGTGTCCTTCCCATCTATTGAGAGACTTGCTGCCTTAAGACTTACTGCTTTAGTAAATTTAAAAAAAGAACATCGTACTATTACAAATTACTAAATTGCATTGTCCATGCAGACATTTCTACAGCTCTCCCGGCACCCCACCCCCCAATGTCTCATGTCCGTTGGTTGGTTGGGCTTTTTTGTTTGTATCGTTATTGCTGTTGTTTTGAGAATTTTGTTGTTGCTGTAAATGGTTTTAACTCAGTCCAGATGTCTAAAAAATATTTGAACTTTCATACAGCTGGCCCAAACATAACTCTAGTATTCACTCAACCACACTGCGTATCAATGGGCCACGGCATTTTATTGCAATTATTCTGTGAGTGTGTTATTAGTCAGACTCCCTGCCTCCGGTTCCAGCTGGGAAATGGGTATATGGGGAAGTTTGCGTCATTCGTCTATTTTTGTGTGTATTTGAAAATGTCCTAGTAAAAGTTTTTTTTAAAAAAACAACCTGACTGTTGGGCATAGGCTTTTCTGTTAT